TTAAGCTATTATATCAACTCCACGGTGCCCAGAAAACAAAAATGCCTGTATACAAAATCTAGATAAACTGTCAGAGCACTGTCACGGTACACAATAGCTCACTGTCAGAAGCTCACCAGAAGGCACTGTACCAGCTGCTACAGCGCTTCTTGATGAACTCTCCCCAAGCCCAGGGACTGAAAACATGACTAACACAGTCATCCAGCACCATTAGTATTGGTGCTCATCAGAATGGACATTATTCTTGGCTGTGTGTGAACTACTGCTCAATGAGAAATTCTGACAACATCAATTACATTAATAACATCACTATCCATTTCATTCGGAAACAAACAGAAAAAGGCTAAGCAGGCTAAGTAAGGAGTAATTAGAATAATCTGTTCCCTAAATAAAGAATGCTTCAAAGCAGGTTGCTTTGGAAACATTTTAACTTCAATATTAATTTTAGTAAAAATGTACAAACATATATTTAAACATATGTCTAAAATTAAATCTAAAAATAATCAAAGGTAATCCTTTAAAATTGGGTTTAAGATTAGTCTATTCCACAGAAACATCTGGTTGAGTTGAGATCTTTTAACCTTGGAAATGAGATTAGAAATCCCCTGTTTTTAAATTTAATTTTTGGTTATTTTATCTGGGTCACAGATAATCTGCTCTTGCTTAAATCTGAAACAACATCAGATAGTCGTCACTGTGATTATCCTGTTGCCTTCTACTATCAATAAAAAGACAGGATCTTCCCTCTCAAGTGGAGAGAAATGATTTATTTATTCCAAGAATAATGGGAAAAAATTACTGAAAACGGGTATGCTGCTTCCTCAAAGCCTCAATCTAAACCTAAAAAAGACAGCATTTGTTTTGCCTGTTTGTTGTCTAATAGGCCTATATTCAAGTTATGTAATGACATAGTTTATATAATGAAATAATACCACTACCAGTGTTTCCCCAAAATGCCTCCTGGTCTTTGGGCGCAGGAATAGGGGAAGGAGGAAGACTTCAGTGGAAGGATTAAATTTACTGTGTACTAGAGAGTTCTGATGTCTGTAGAAATTATACACTTGCAAAACATTCAAAAAAGAATGCAGTGTTAAGAGAAATTTTCTTTCTTACGCTTTTTTTTTTCTTTCTTATGCTACCTAACAAATTCATCACTTCTTTCACATTGTGAGAGATGCATGGATTCACATTATGACCGAAACATGCCCAGGTGTGAAATTTCCTGTGGATAGTCTGAATTTTTTCATAAAATGAAAACAGCAAGCATACTGTATTAAAAAAAAAGTAAGCAAAATCTCTGTATTTTTAACTTTAATTAAAATATATTTTTATTTAAATACTAATAATTCATTGGATTTAAAATTAATACTGAGGTTTAACAACCTTAAATAATTAAGCCTTAAAGAGCCTTAAATCAATGTGAGGAGGAGTGCACTCTGGAAACCTTAAAAGAATTTTTTTTTTAATCCAAAAAGAGTGATGCTAGAAGGTCACTATGAAAGCCCAGGTAAATGGAATTGAAATTTGCTGTAATTGTTCAAAGCACTTGGATTCAAGAGGAAGTAGAGTGAGCAAAGACTGGACTAACAAAGGTATACTTTCTCTTAACACTGCATTCGTTTTTGAATGTTTTGCAAATGTATAATTTCTACAGACATCAGAACTGTCTAGTACAGAGTATTCTGAGAGGACACTATATGTATACAGAAAGGAATGAAAGTTTTGGAGAAAGCATTATAGAACAAATGTGGTTTTTACTTAGTTTTAGAAATAGCAAAACATCAGAACCAACCTCCCCATCTTAAGACAATGAAATGCTGTTCAGTATTATAGCAAAATAAAAAATCCTGCAATTTGAAAAATACTAACATGTTGGCAATATGGAATAGAGTCAGAACAGAATCTGGTATTACACATCCTTTAAAAACCAAGAAATTCAATAAATAATTTTAGGGTCAACTCAGAAGTGAACATTCAAATTTTAGAGCGGGGATTCTTAAAGATTTTGAAGCTTTTGCTGCCAAACTCCTCTCTCTGAAGCTTCTGAGGTTGCTGGGTGAGAAGGAAATTGCTGCCCCCAGCTAAAAACCCCAACAACCCTTATAAGTAACTTGTACTCTTAGCAGCAATGTCCCAAATGTCCATTTCCAGTCATTCATCATAAGAAATCGAAAAAAATCTGAGAATTCTTATTCCAGGAGATACAAATATATACCAATGATTTTGGTAAATCCAAAAGTGAAAATTCAGAAAATGCAAGTATAATCTGGCAATTCTGACATGACTTATAGACAGACTATAAAGTAATTATGAATTAGTATAAAAGTAAAGATTTTAGGCAAAGACCTACTCTCATCTTCACCACTATTATTAATACCATGTTATTTATCATCATTAGAGAAGTCATGAGATATTAGAAAATATTTCAAGCTGAGTAAGAAAAATAATTTAAACAGACATTATACATTCCATGAACAGCCAATAAGAACATGAAGGGAAAAAAAATGTAAACAAGCATTGAGCTCTATTAATGATTTGCATGGTGAACAATTTGCTGCCTGCAATTTATTTTGATATGTATCGAAACACGTAATAGATTGATAGACAGTTTGACATGAGATAAAGCAAGTATTCTAATGTTAATTGTGGTTGTAATTCACTGTAAATTTCTTTAAAATTTCCTGTGTGTTTAATGTTTTTCTTATAAAACCTAAGGAGGAAAGGTTATTATGAGTACCTTATAAAGTATGCAAACATAGGTTATACAAGAAATATGTTTTCCCTCCATTTCTGACTGCATTTTCCAGTTTTATTCAGAGGCTAGTCACCACTACCTGTATCTAGCTCCCCACCCCTAGGCAACCCCTCAACTCCTTTCTGTTTCTACAGACTTGCCTATTCTGGACATTTCATATAAATGGAATCACACAAATACAGGGCCTTTTGTGACTGGTCTCTTTCACTTAGCATAACGTTTTCAAGGTTCATCCATATTACAGCATGTATCAGTCCTTTACTTCTTTTTATGACAGAATAAGATCCACTATGTGGATATTCCACATTTTGTATATCCGTTCATCAGCTAACGGACACCTGGATTGCTCCCAGTTTGAGGTTATTATGTATGAATAATGTTGCTATAAATATTCATGTACAAATATTTGCATGGACATACGTTTCATTTCTCTGGGGTATATACCTAGGAGTGGAACTGCTGAATGAAATGATCATTCCATGTTTAACTTTTTAAAGAACTGCCAGACTGTTATCTGTCTGCACTGTTTTCCATCCCCACTAGCAGTGTGTGAAGGTTCTGATTCCTCTACATCCTGACCAACCTTATGTTACCATCTTTTTTTATTACAGCCATCCTAGTGTGTGTGAAGTGGTACCTCATCATGGTTTTGATTTTTATTGCCCTGATAACCAATGATGTTGAGCATCTTTTCATGTATTTGTTATCCATTGGTATAACCTATTTGAACGAATGTGCATTCATATCCTTTGGCCGTGTTTTAATTAGGGGTTTTTTTTAGTACTGAGTTACAGGAGTTCTCTATCCTAGATATAAAAGCCCCTTATCAGATATAGGATTTACAAATATTTTCTCCCATTCCATGAGCTGCCTTTTTACCTTTTTGATCTCGTACTTTGAAGCACAAAAGTTTATAGTTTTATTTATCCATTTTTTTCTTGGTTGTTTGCACTTTTGGTGTCATATCTAAGACATTATTTCCTACTCCAAAATTTACTCCTATGTTTTCTTCTAAGAGTTCTATCATTTTAGATCCTCATTTAGGTCTATGATCCATTTTGAGTTAATTTATGTATATGGTGTGAGGTAAGGGTCCAACTTTATTCTTTTGCATGTGTATATCTAGTTATCCCAGCAGCATTTATTGAAAAGACTTTTCTTTCCCCCGTTGAATAGTTTTGGCACCGTTGTTGAAAATTAGTTAACTGTATTTACATACATATATCTCTGAACTTTCAATTCTATTGTCATTTATCTATATGTGTATCCTTGTGCCAGTAGCACACTTTCTTGATTACTGTTACTTTATAGTAAGTTTCGATAACATTTTTTTCTCACTATACATTGTTTTCACTGAACATATTCTGGTAAACACTTATGCTTACATACACAATACATATGCTATACATAATATAACAATGGGGATCTTTTATGCTTACATACACAATACATATGCTATACATAATATAACAATGGGGATCTTTTATAACATACATGATTATTTACACACGTCAATAAATAGTTTCTACAAAACAAATGTGTAGAGGTTGATCAAAATGACTGTGCCTTTTAAGGGTTAATACACACTGACAACCCTTCAAAAAGGTTATGCCAATTTACCACCATCAACGATATATGAGAAAACCTTAGCCTACATCTTCTACAATGCAGTATATTACCAAACTTTTAAATCCTTACTCAATATAATTTTTCTCACTTTTTGAACTTCTCTGTTGTGATAAATCCCACTTGGCTAATAAATACATGCAAAAAAATAAATAAATAAGAACCAATCACTAATAAAGTGTTTCTAACCAGCACCTCCATTTTTTGGAATTTATCTTAAATAGTCTTAAATTGTTTAAAGAGGAAAAAGAGCTGGTCAAAGTAGTGTTATTTGTAATATAGAAAAAAAGATTACACACTAGATGCTGATCAAAAGGCAAAGTGTTAATATGGTATGTTCACTAAACAGAGTATATCCAGCTACTAAAAACTGTAAACATGGAGTCTGTAGGCATATGGAAATATGCCAATTTTTAAAAGCAGGATACAAAACTGTATATATACTCTGTACACTGATTGTAACTATGTTAAAATTACACAGGCATATGGAAATGAAAATATATAAATGACTATGCGGTAATTTTCTCCTTTCATTTCTAAACTTTTTGTCACTTCTTAGAATTAAGTTCATAATTAGCAAATGTGTTCATAAATACATTACATTAAAAAATATACTTACTGTGATGATGCCAATTAGTTGAGTATAAAAAAGTCCAGTTATTCCAACTAACATAGTAATGCCCATAAAGGCAGCTAGTCTCATTATGGCCAATTCATGTCTAACAACAAAGAGGTCCTATAAGAAGAGAGAAGACAGACTTAAAAACAAATTGAAAAGTTACTTATAATCGCAGTAACCGTCAAGAATTAACCCATAACACTCTGCCCCTTATTTTCTTAAAAAAATACTCTCCCCCTTTTGAGTTTATTCCACTTAATCATTATATAAATATTTGAAAATTTCAAAATAATTGTCTTTAATTCATAGCAGCAAGCCAAAAAATAGGATTTTTACTACTCTTGTGTCGAAAAACCCCAATCCTAAAGTTGCAAATTAGCCACACTTACTTACTGTTTGTAGCAAAAACCAAAAAACAAAACAGAAACCTCCAAAAAACACAAACAAAACATATATAATCTTTGGTTACACAAAAGGAAATTTTATTATTATACTGCTAAAGAGTTTGAATGCACAAGCATGACTCATAGTATTAAAGTTCAGGTGACCAAGATACCCAGAGATTATGTGACTCAGTCAAAATAAGGGGGAAATATTAATGATAGGATCGTGTGGACAAGTTCTCTTTAAGCCTACTTCATCCATCCATCCATCCACCCACTCAAACACCACCGCCAAGCACTGTGCTAAGTAATAGAAAAGTAAAAATGAGAAAGATATGGTCCATACCCTGAAAAAACTGCAGCTTATTTAGAGAGAGAACCCAATTTTATGAAACTCCGAAACAGTGTGATCTATGTTCTACCAGGGATGTATGCAGAAGACTGTCGAAACATCAAGCAATGCCTAGACAGGAAGGAGACATGTAAATGCTGTGAGGGAAAGCTGATTTCCTGTCTCAGGGCATAAAAATGAGTGTCTTGAAAGTGAACCCAAGAAAGTGGTGGAAAGACAGGCAAACAAGAAGCATTTCATTTACTCTGTTACCAAGCAGACAGACTAGAGTGAGACGGAGTTCTGCAAACCTACAGCGGCTAAACTCTGCAATAACACTTCCACAGTGGACAGAAGCAACAGATGAATGGGAAGGACCCCCAAAACATAACCACCCACATGCTTTTTTAACAGTGATTCAGGTTAAGGCTTAAAGGTATCCTGGTAGCAACATGAAAAATAGGGAGGTCACCGAACATACTGAGCTTGTTTAAAACAAAAGAACTGATGCTTTTCGATGTATCACAGTGACTACCCACCAGACTCAAGCAGAAATCTGAGTCTACACCCAAACCGCTCAAAATTCATTGGCTTGGAAAAACTTAAACTCCACCAAGACACTTACGGTGCTGTATAGCAGTCAGATATTAGGCAGTCATTTCAAATGCTCAGTGAAAAGAGCCTAACACAGAGTCCTCACCAATCATGTAAAGATGAAAAGATGGAGTTATGCATGATACAAGAAATTAAGTGCAGAATGGAGCACTGGGTGTTATACGCAAACAATGAATCATGGAATACTACATCAAAAACTAATGATGTAATGTATAGTGATTAACATAATAAAAAAAAGTTAAAAAAATTAAGTGCAGTAAGTTCTCCTATAATGCTGTTTGAAAAGACAAATTTGTTCCAACGTGGTCCATACATGAAACAACTTGAGCATAGCAAGAATTCTGTGTTTGCTTATTGTGATTTCAGCCGCAAGAAACCCTAGATGAACACGGAAAACTGAACCCAGCTAAATTAAGGTCTATGGGAATACACAAAACACATGCGTACACCCGAACACCTATCGACTACCACAACTGATCCTCTGTGTTAGAAGCCTCACTCATCCACATCTGCTATTACACCTTTCCGATTTCAGATGACTCTCCTTCTGTTACTTCCCAGCACGTCACTTACTGTAACCCATCTCATGCCCACTGCCACAACAACACGGCAGGTCTCTTTTAAGGTAAAGTGTCAAGTTTGGTATCGTATTTATGTATTTCTCAACTATTTAACATGTGTGAAACCGTGCTGCTGATTGTATTAGGTTCGGACCCTTTTGAGTGTCACTGACAAAGTTTCTGAGTGTTGTGCCTCCATCTTCCCATAAGCTCTGTGGTTTTCACTGCATAATTTTGCAGAGTAGGGTGAATTTCAGAAATGCACATATGGGGGCGCCTGGGTGGCTCAGTCGTTAAGCGTCTGCCTTCAGCTCAGGTCATGGTCCCAGGGTCCTGCGATCGAGCCCCACATTGGGCTCCCTGCTCAGTGGGAAGCCTGCTTCTCCCTCTCCCACTCCCCCTGCCTGGGTTCTCTCTCTCACTGTCTCTGTCAAATAAATAAATAAAATCTTTAAAAAAAAAAAAAGAAAAGAAAAGAAATGCACATATGGTGTAATAGTAGAGCTTGGTGTAGAAAATATACCATATATGACCAAATAAAAAGCATCTTCTCTTCTCCCAGTGAAAAGCTCTTAAACAAATTTTGCCACCTAGAATTTATAAATGTTGGGGATGATGAGACTGTAAGATCTAATTCTAATATTACATTTATTCACCTGGTTGCACACTTATATTTAAGAGTATTCGTGTAAAACAGTAAAATACTTTGAGAAATTTCTATTTATCACTCTTAACATTTTCAAAACACAACTGCATTCCAAGATTACACACACATATTTAACATCTTCAGTACTAAATCCAAATCTTGGTCATTTAGCAAAGTTCTTCAGAGTACAACATCTTCACTTTACATTTTTTTCGATGTAGCACTTTTGGGATCTAAAGATTCGCTTGGAAAACTTTATCCAAATCACAAGAACCCTTTTGCTATTCAAGATCTTTCCTACATATTCAGCGTTATGGCTGAATGTGTCTCCCCCAAAACCCATTATGTTGAAGTCCTAATTCCTAGTACCTCAGAATGTGACCGTATTTGGAGACAGGGCCTTTAAGGAGGAGACTAAGTTAAAACAAGTCCCTTAGGGCTGGCACTAATCCAATCTGACTGGTGTCCCTATAAGAGGAAACTGAGAAACACAGACACAGCTCAAGCACAGAGGAAAGACCAGGTGAGGACACAGCGACAAGGTGGCCCATGTGCAAGCCTAGGACAGAGGTGTCCAGAGAAACCCAACCTGCTGACTTGCTCTTCGACTTCCAGCCTCCAGCACCACAAGAAAATGAGTTTCTGTTGTGTAAGCCTTCCAGTCTGTAGCATTTTGTTATGGCAGCCCTAGCAAATGGATATAACAACTGTATTCCTTTATCATTTTCATTTTCCCCATTTCTTGTTAAGAAATGTGCTTATATCCAGGAAATGCATAAGATATAAGTTCAGTTTAGAGAAAAGTAACACCACCCTCTCAAGAATGAGAACATTTGACAGCATACAGAGCTTTCATCTGTGCATTCCTTCCCCATCACATTCTCTCCCTCATCCCTACCCTGAAGGTAAAGGTTACTCATTCTTCATACCATTTGGATACTACCAAGTTTTAGTTGTATATTGCAGATACCTTCTACTCTGAGTCTACCGTTTCACTTTCTTTATGGCATATTTTGATAACTCCAAGGGCTTCAATTTAATGTAGGCCAATTTATCAATCTTTTCCTTTAGTGCTTTTTATTTCCTGTTTAAAAAGCCTTTCCCAATCCTGAGGTAATAATGGCATTTTTCTATATTATCATCCAAAGCCTTTAAAAGCTCTGTAGCTTTGCCTTTCAGATTTAGGTCACTAATCCACCTGGAATTGATGTTTATTCTTTTTGTGCACAGTGAAATACAGGGGTCTGAATTTACTTTTACTATATGGATATCCATTTGTATTTCCAGAAAAATTTTAATTAGTCTTTCAAGTTACAGTACACAATCAGATACACACACACACACACATATTTTCTCTATTAAGCTTCATATTTTCCCCCCAGAGGTCTTATAGTTTTTTGGCCATATTTAATTCAGGAACTTCCTGTTTCTTGATTCTATTATAAATGGTTTTGCTATTAATTTCATTGTCTAAACGGTTGTCGGCATACACAAGATTTTTTTTTTCTAATCTGTTAATGTGATAACAACACTGATATTCTAATGTAAAAACTGCCTTTCATGTCTAAGATAAACTCAACTTGATAGGCTGGTTACATATATATCCAGATTCAGTTTGCCAATATTTTGTGTAGAAGTTGTTTATCTATGTTCATAATCAGACTATAGTTTCCTTTCATTCTTCATTATCTTTGATAAGTTATGTATTCAACATATGCTGTACACATAAAATGAGCTGGGGAGGGTTCCCTCTTTTTCTGTTCTTTTTAAAAAGAGTTTGTATAAGACTAGAATTATTGTTTCCTTTCATATTTGATAGAGCCAGAACTCACTGGTAAATCTGTGAATATGCTTTGCAGAAGTTTTAACTACTCACTCATGGTTATAGAACTCATCCTGGTTCCAATTCCTTCCTGAAGCAATTTTCTTCTTAGAGCTATACTATGCTTATGATCAGGAAACTCAGTACTGTTAAAGATATTCAACTGTCCAAACTGATATATAAAATTAATACAATCCCAATAAAAATCCCCCACCAGCACAGCATATAGTCTACTGATAGCAGTTTCTCTTTAATTTTACTTTGTTTTGATTTGTACAAATTGCTAAGTAAGCTGTTTCTAAATTTCATAGGAATGAACAAAACACAACGAATACATACCACTCCTATATAAAAAGAAAAAGGTGGGAGGGTTTGGCTTACTGCATGCATTCTCAATATAGGTAATATGGCCCCCAAGGAGGGAGAAAATTGGTTCTTCCCAGGGAAAAAAAATCACCTATTTCAATAGTTTTGTGGCCATACACAAATCAATCCTACCTGACAAAATCTTATTCCTTAGTATTTAATTTCATAGAGGGAAGAGGAGAAAATGTCTAAAAAGGCTCCCAAGGGAGCAAAAATAATGAAAAAAAGAGGAGTCTCCACTGGATAACAAGATTTGCTATAAAACTATAGTTATGACATGGTACAACCACAAGGACAGACAAATAGACCAATGGACTAGCAAAGAACCAGAAACAGATACACACATATATGGCTTGGTTTCTGACAAAGATGGCACTGCAGAGTAGAAAGAATT